CACACGTTTAACAGACACCGACCCGACAAAGGACGTGTGAGGCGTCCTCAGAGACCGTTCGAAGAGCCTGAAGGCGGCGGCACACCTCCAGCCAAGAGCCAGGGTCATGCTTTGGCAGACGGATGGCCATTGGCGGACCTCAACGGCATATCGTGCTACGTACTGACGTGTCGCCCATCACTGCTGACCGGAGATTCGGCGAGATGATGTGTAATGTGCAGCACGGTAGATACGTGGCGGCTGAGCTGAGCTCAGTAGTGACCCTGCATGCTATGGTCACAGTCGGGGTAGGTGCACACTACACGTACTGCACGCCCGCCCGGATACCTATGCACTGCAGTTAGGGCCGTGTGGCATTGCATTGCCGGCTGTGCCAAATCCAAACTAGAGTGTCAGTGGCCGCCAGATCGCCACACGTCTGCCCGGCGGCGGCGCGTGGAGTGGCTGCATTGGCTGGCTGCGTGGCTGCATTGGGATCTGGGTATGAGTACGACCAAAAGCACTGGCGGATCCAGACTTGCGTTTTGGGGGGGGCCAACTCCTGCAAGTAACCAAACCTAGGGTACCCCCAAATCCTGTTTTCTCATCGGATTTAGGCCACTTATTTTTTCGTCACAGCCCTGAAACGATATTTTTTTAAAACTAAAAATAAAAAAATATGGAAATGGTAGCCCACCCAACCCGAGCCTAAATATTACTTTGAAAACACTTCAAATTGCTTTTGTCGACCAATTAGCCCGCTCCGGGTCGGTGCGTGGCGCAGCCTTCGCGGGCTGGGAGGTGTCGGTTGGACCCCCTGCCGTTCGGCCCCTGATTAAGCTAGAGCTCGCGGAAAAAAAAACAGGCGTGTTGCCCGTGAGTGACGAGACGAAGCCGATGATACCCGATTTTAAGGTCCTTGGTCATTGGTTGACCTTCCAGGGCGGTGTTTCACGGTCGTGCTGACAGCCGCTGACAGCGCATTCCGCGAGCTAAGGTCAGCCTTCGGTAGTGTTGTGGGTATAGGCTTGTTGATGTCTCCATTGAAACCAAAACTCATAAGTGCCATCAGCGCTGGCAGCGGCTGGCAGCGTGCCGTGAAACACCGCCCAGGTCAGGTCACAGACCCAAAAGACGGGTTCGTTCGTTCGTTCGTTCATTGGGGTTTACGGGCGCGCCAAAAGACGGGAAAATCACCAAAAGACGGGAAAATCAGGACCTGTCAGAACCTCCTAAAGTAAGGCTGTAATACGTTTTTTTTTTGCTGATCACAAATTTCATGTTAGTTTGGATCATAGATAATGTCTTCATGCGTTTAGACCATGTCGGGGCAGGTCAGGCCAGGTCAACCCGTAGGCGTACTTATGGGCGTCCGTATAGCAGGTGTCCACTACCACTGGCAGCTACGTAACATGATACGAAGGCATCAAAACTACTTCGTAAATGTTAAAATGGCTGCAAAATGCTAAATTCAAAATCAGCTAAACGAAACTATCCTAGAAACATGTTAACCCGCGCACCGACGGGGGTCTGCGCCAACTTCGCACCGACGGGGGGGGGCGGATGACCGCCCCCCCCCCCCTGAGATCTCGAGAACGAAGCAAGATAGCGACAAGCGGTAAACGGCATCGGATACGCACGGTCAAGATCTACAATATTTACAAAGGTCATTTTCAGGTCAGGTCAAAGATGACGTCACAGGGGTCGAAAAAGTCAAAATGGCGGCGCTAGATATGGAGAGTTTTTCTCGAATAACTTTCGAATTAGTCAAGATAGGAACAAACTAAGGGCATCATCGTAATTCTCTCGTCAATCCGCATCGAATGATATATATATGTTGACCTCGAAAGGTCAAGGTCAAAGGTTGACCTCAGGTCACGTGACCTCGAGGTCATCATGTATATCATTCGATGCGTCTTGACGAGCTGAACACAATGAGACCATCCACGCGTCTGTATCTTGTTCCTGTACGGAGTTATTGGCCAAAAACCTTTGGTGACCTTTGATGACGTCACATGACCTCACAGCTGCCCAACAGCCAAACTGACCTCAAGGTAGTGAAGGTTGATCGTATATGAAGTCATGTATGGTATATGGGGCCATTCCGACCCGTTTTAGTGGTAAAAACAGGGAGTTGATTTTTCCCCCATTGACTTATAATGGGGAGGTCGCGAAATTGACCTGACCTTAGGTCACCGATATCAAAATTCCGAGATATGAAAATTGTAGCTACTAATGACCTTATAACATCCTGCGACTTTCAAAGGCCTCCGACATCTACTGTAGCTCTGGCACGGTGACAAAGTTGCAAAAAAGTGACTTGAGGTTGGGTCATTCAAAGTGACCTGGTGACCTGACTTTGAAAGGTAGGAGATTCAAACTTGCACACCATATGTAAAATTGATGAGGGAATAGTCATACCAAATTTCGCGGCGCTACGCGCCGCGGTTTTCCCGCTATTCGCGAAAAACCTCAGGGGGGCGGATATCCGCCCCCCCGTCGGTGCGCGTGTTAAACTCGGAAAAGTGCACCGAGGTCATCAAAGGTCAATGACCTGACTTGACCGTAAGGTGACATTGGCATCCGCCCTAATGCGTGGGAGCAACATCATATCACATGTTTGAGCGTTTTAAACCACGAAAAGACTATAAAAGCGCGGATAATGTGAGCCGACATACGCCGAATCGCTATTCCGGCCAAACATGGCCTCCAACATGGCCAAACAGTCTCGAGAAATAGGCCACAAGTCAAAGTTCACTTGGGTCAGGGTCATGAAATTTTCAGACTTTGTCACCATGAGGGTACTAAAGTTTCGTCGCGATCGGCTTCATGATACCTTACACGATAACTTCACACGTCGATCGAGAGTTAAAGCATGGATGAAGGAGAACCAGGGGATGAAGGTTCTTTCATCCATGGTTAAAGTGTGCAATAAGAACTTCTTGGGTGAAGACAAGACCAACACTTTTATCAAGCTCACAGATTTTTAATGATACGGTATTTTCTCTCTACCTACTACGCCCTTCTCACATTCATTTTTCTTAAGTGTTTTTGGGGACAAAAAATATATGTTGTTCCCCTTTCAGGCTTAGGGGCATGACCCCGTGGCCCCCCTGGATCCGCTAGGCCGAAACTAACTAGGTCGTTTTCAAACGGTCTGATATTTCAGGTCATAGTTTGCAAACGGCCGGTGTTTTCAGGTAGTTTCATATGGCCTGACTGGGGCAGGCCGTTTGCAAACGGACCGAATTTTCATACGGCCTGTAACATATATTCAGATTTCGACATCTGTCGTAGCATCAAATGCTGATGTGGCGCACTCAAAAGCCGGAATTGGTCCTTGGATGCCGTAAGGACCCTTTTAAGAAATAAGTGACCCGACTGACCCTTAGAGATTGGCCTGAGCTGTGACCGAAATAAGTCTTTTACCGTTTCGCAGGAAGGGACAAAAAGGTCCCTCATATGCTTCTTGTACAATTACGAAACAAAACAAGTTTTTTTCAACGAAAACTCAGTGAGTTTTCCTAAAAAATTTATTGCGCATATTCCGTGAATGAAAAGTTGCCGGGTCATGTCAGGTCAGGCTGCCACAGCAAGTTTGTTAACTTGACAGCTCAATCGATATTTATGCAATAAGACCTTCTCGGGTGACGATAAGACATGACGACACTTTATGAAGGAAGCTAGTAAACCCGGTAATTTCTCCATAGGCGCGGGAACCGGGGGGAGGGGGCAGTGGTGGCAGCTTGCCCCCCCCCCCAACTCTGGGGCCGTGCGGGCGGTGCCCCCACAACTTTCAGACAGAATACCGCTCCTTTTTGCAAATGTTTTCTTTTTTTTGTTGAAAAAGCCAAGGGATGAAAAATAAGTGGCCTAAAACCGGCGAGAAAACTATATTTGGGGGATCCTAGGTTGATCTCTATCATGGTGTGACCTCCCCCCCCCCCCCCCCGTCTAAAAGTAGTTCCCGCGCCCCTGGGTTTCTCTACGCTATTGAATCACGCTGCTGATTCTAGTAAGTATCTACTACACAACCTTCTCACATTAATTTTTCTTCGAGCGTTTTGGGGGGGCCAAAAGATATGTTGGCCCCCTCTTTCAGGCTTTTTGGGCCCATGGCCCCGGTGGCCCCCTTGAATCCGCCAGTGGGGGCGGTGCCCCCACAACTTTCAAACGGAATACCGTCCTTTTTTTGCAACTGTTTCTTTTTTTTGTTGAAAAAGCCAAGGGATGAAAAATAAGTGGCCTAAAACCGGTGAGAAAACTAGATTTGGGGGGACCCTAGGTTGATCTCTATTATGGTGTGCTCCCCCAGTCTGAAAGTAGTTCCCGCGCCCCTGACTTTCTCTACGCTATTGAATCACGCTGCTGATTCTAGTAGGTATCTACTACGCAACCTTCTCACATTAATTTTTCTCCAAGCGTTTTGGGGGGGGCCAAAAGATATGTTGGCCCCCCCTTTCAGGCTTTTGGGGGGGGGCCATGGCCCCGGTGCCCCCCCCCCTGGATCCGCCAGTGACCAAAAGCCACTTCCACCAGGTCATGGCGCTATGGGGAATTGCTACGCCTGCGTTTTAACCTATATATCGTAGGTACAGTCTGTCTTAAAAGTACCGCGCAAAGTGACGGTGGATCCATCAAGCCTGACCGAAGAAGAGCCTGCTATAATTTGAAAGTCACCGAACCAATTGACCTGGGGAGTGGTCGAGAATGTCAATTGCTTCGGTGATTCAAATTTAGCAGGCCCTTCCTCGGTCAGGCTTGATGGATCCACCGTTACTTTGCGCGGCAGACTGTACGTGTTTAGGGTCGCCTGCTCATATGTTGTGAAATTTTGTATTTTTGTAGGAGGCTGGAGGGTAGCCGGTGGGCCCTCTCTCTCAAATGATGTCGGTGATAATAGCGATATAGAAACAACTCATAAATTCAGGGGTCTTGTTGCCGAGCTTATTCCAGACCCTCAGAGAGAAAGGTAGGTACTCACTACTCTACTCAGCTCACCCGAGTACGTAGGTATATTTGGCACAAGGATGGATCTTCATCTGTTTTTACTTATTCTACTATACACAGCTATATACAAAGGTACAGAAATACAAAACTTCTTTACAAAAAAATCAGCCATCATTTACACCGTAGCTGACCGTAGCATTCTGAGTAGGTACATTTGGTCGTAAAATGACCATAATAATAATGACGATAATTTTTGTCGTCATTTTACATCTGTCATGGATTCATTACATTTGGTCGTAACTCGTGCTGATTGTGCATAAATTATAATTCGATTGTGCATAAATTTTATGCAGTCAAAATGTGGGCGATGTAAACAACTTCGGTGTAACTTATTTACCGTAGCATTGACGTCACATCTTTTCTCGCAAAGTTTCGGATAGTCTCGTTCGTGGCGTCGAAAAAGCGGCAATAGTGATTGCCGCGGTTTCCTTCGTGAGCGATGATTTAGTGCGCCGAATATGTATGAATGTGCTGCGGAAGGTATCTGTGTGGTATGCGGTTGTAATTTTTACTTCTTCAATGCTAGTGATATCGGAGTTCGGGTAAAATATGAAAGAAGATATCAGTGATACCTATTTATGGAACTTTTAAGAATACAGTGCTGCACTGTTTTAGACTGCTTGGACATTTTAAGCAGTTAAATGTGCACTGATTCTGTACCCAACGTGTTGGCCTGGCCCTAATGCAAATGGGCTCATCTAAAGAAGTGGATGAAATTGTATATTAAGAGTTATTGATCTCTGGACAGCACATTGTGTGATAACTGAAAAACCATTATTGTATGACAACATTCAAGAGCGGAGTGGATGTGTCTCTAGTGCCGTATTCCACCCTCCTATGCAAGGATGAGTGGTCGTCCACGTACTACTTCCATGATTGAAGGGAGCAGCCAATCTCAAAATCAGCACCACAATTGGGGAAACGTCAAAGTCAGCAGTAAGTGTAGCTTCTGTTTCTTTTCTCTGCACAATCAGTTGCATGGATTATGCTGTTTTAATCATGTATGAACCTTGATGGTATTCTGCAATATTGATATGACTGCATGAATTTTCAGACTGCATGCCTTATCCTAACATCTGTTTGATTTAAGCAGTTCTTTATTGTTATTCAATTTTTGACATGGTTGCAAGGGAAAATGTCTGGTTAAGCCAAGTTAAATGTTTTTGGAATGGTTTACCAACTAGTGTTGATATTGAGCTGTATTAACAGTACACAGCTTGGGACTTTGAACAGAATTATTAGCTGAAGTGAATGGCTTCAAATTTATTATGAATCAGTTTGGTTACTCTTGGTAGGTTACCCTGAGCACCAGAATCTGCCTATCAGGGAACAGTACCTTACCCTGGCCTTACAGGGCTGAGTGACTGTGTGCGGTAACACTTTGCATATGCCTCCTTTAATTCTCTATGCATCATTGTTACATGAGCTTACTGTTAAAAGGTAATGCCTGATATTATGGGCATAATTCTTCTATGTGAATCATATGTGACAGTACATGTGTAAAATACATGTGGTATATGAACCTTCATAGTCAATTTCTAGGTATAGGTAGGTGCCAGCTGCTTTGGCAGATTTAGGTGCTTTTACTTCTTACATGGGTATCAATTTTGATTGAGTCGTGTGCTAAGTGTTAGTTTACCTAGCTCAAAAGCTTTAAATTGCTATTGTATAAACCATCCCCATTATTGCAGGCCTTGCTTGATATTTCATTCCATTGATGATCTTGCTTTTAAAAGGAATAAAAGCACATTTGTTATGTATGTAGCCTGTAGGTACTTCCTATGCCATAGAATAGATAAACATGGATAGTGGATACAAAGGATGAAACACATTGGTGTTTGGAAGTGAGGGCAACATTTTAGAAGATTACTTATTTTTTTTTTTAAACTGTTCACTTTGCCACCAGAAAGAAAATGGAGGCTGCTATTTTAAGCCATACCTAACTAAGTAAAGGAAGTGGAAGCAGAATGCTTATATAGAATTTTGACAGCATTCCAGAGTTGATCATTTGATTTTCCTTTCTGTCTGGTTTCCAAGCTGTAATATCATTTTAGTATTGATTTTTTTTCATGATGTCTAATGTCCAAATTCTAGTATTGCTGAGTAAGTGTAAATAGATATTGTGTGCTTCATAGCTTATGACCATTTGTTTGTTGGTTAACTGTTCTTGACATACTCAGTCTGGTTATAGATGCTTGAGTCTATTTATTAAGCCAAAATATTGGTTAAGTAGCTCTGGAAGAGTGTGCTTGGTATGTAATATTTACAGAGCCTTTTCTTTAATCAATGGCTAATTACTATGACCTATGTGTTATCACAAATGTCTTCTGTGGTGCAGCACATTTGACAGCAGAGCTGGTTGAAGTTGGACATATTTGATGGGTACCTACATATTGTGACTAATTTACTAATTGACATGAATCCAATTAATTTTAACAAAATTGGTTAAGGTTTGGACGCTATTATGCTACCTACAATAACTATCAATAATATAATATCATGGCCTAAATTACCAGGTTCTTTCCCTTTGCAGTTTATTATACACATATTTGTACATTTGCTTAGTTCCTGTTTCAGCGTTTTCTTGCATTTTATTTGTTTAGAGTTAGTTGTGGATAGCTAAGCTTGGGCACTTTTTTATAAAAAATAATGAGTTTCATCTCAACTAATATTTGATATTTTCCTCACTTTTTCTTGAAATCCTATGTTCTTTAGGAGCCCAGAAGTCCGAAATTCATGTGTGACTAATCCTGCTGTCTCAGTGGGGAGGGTTAACGATACAGCTCGCTCTGATGCTAAAATATAAAAAAAAAACTGTGCAGTCCCATTTTTAAACTTGAAAACTGTCCATGGAGGTGGCGCTTCAGAAGAGCCAAACCCATTTTGTAGTGGGTATGAGCTTGTTGTCCCCTAGGGGCTAGGTGTGTGCGCGCCAGGCGAGCGGACTGCCACCGCTGCCGTGCCAGTGTAGGCGCCGGGTATGAGTCCGCTGGGGATACCTCTGACTGCGGCGGGAGAGCCGTGAAGCTGCAGTGTCATAATAGGCCGTTAGATGGCAGGTGGTGATGTGTACTGTTTATCCGAGTAGCCGTACCATGCGACGGGGCCGTGAGATGGAAAACTGGTGTCCCACAGCCAGTTAATCTTGTTAGTACGGCGCAAATTGATGGCTCTTGGTCAGTGGTTATGCTGATATTGTGCTCAGGTGGAAGTGGGGAGGCGATTGGAAATGCCTCCAAATGGCTTTGTGAGAGATGCTGCTACATTACGCGTGGGTAGGCTGTAGGTGTAGGTGTCGATAAGTCGGATACCGCGGATAAGCTGCGGCGGGTTTTATTGAGCTGCAGACCATAGATACCAGCATAGTCCTTGTCTTGACTCCTGCTCCTACTTTATGACCTTGTGTAATGTTGTCTGCTTGTGTCTCTGTGTCGTCTGCTTTATTTTATTTACTGTCCATTTTTGTGGTTTATCCATGTTTACTCTCTATTCTCTGGTCTAATTGGCTTACTGTAGGCGCAGCGGCATAGACGTGTGGGCTGCTATCTGCTCGGCTGGACGGCTATCTGTTGCCCGCCCCGCGATGTCGCTGGCTGGGTCACAGGCTTGCCGCGCTGCCCGAAGGCGGTACTCGCTACGGCTGCCCGTTTGCCAGCGGTCTCTGCTGCGCGGACCGCGCGCGCCCCTCGCTCGCTCGCTCCTTGCCTGCCGTGCTCTGCTGAGAGAGGGCTGCTGTGTCTCCCGCAGGCGCCGCCGCCAGTTGATCAGCGCCTCTGACTGTTGCGCCGCGCGCCGCCACCTCCTCCTAGAGGCAGAGCGAGCGAGCGAGAGAGAGCGATGGCAGGTAATGGTGGCAGTGTCCTGGTCCGTCCGTCCGTCCGCAGGGCCCTCCTGACCGCACGCGGGACCGCCACCCATCTCCGCGGGCCATCCTATATCCCCACCGCCCCCCAGATTTGTCTCAGATTGCACGCTGACTGCTTCTCTTTGTTTATCCTAAGTAACTGTCGAAGGTATGATGCGTAGCCTTTGTTAGAAGAAAACTCGATGCCGCTTAAATCTGAGTTTGGCCTTGATAAAAATGTCCCCGTCTAAAATGTGATTCGAATTGTATGAATGTTTTGCGCATAGTCTGCGTTGTTTGTGCATCCAAATTTAACCCTATTCCTGGCGGGCTCCGCCGGGACAAGAAACTGGCGGGGGGGGGGGCCGATTCGGCCCCCCCCTGAGATCTCGAGAACGAAGCAAGATAGCGACAAGCGGTAAACGGCATCGGATACGCATGGACAAGGTCTACAATTTTTACTAAGGTCATTTTCAGGTCAGGTCAAAGATGACGTCACAGGGGTCGAAAAAGTCAAAATGGCGGCGCTAGATATGGAGAGAGTTTTTCTCGAATAACTTTCGAATTAGTCAAGATAGGAACAAACTAAGGGCATCATCGTGATCCTCTCGTCAATCCGCATCGAATGATATATATGTTGACCTCGAAAGGTCAAGGTCAAAGGTTGACCTCAGGTCACGTGACCTCGAGGTCATCATGTATATCATTCGATGCGTCTTGACGAGCTGAACACAATGAGACCATCCACGCGTCTGTATCTTGTTCCTGTACGGAGTTATTGGCCAAAAACCTTTGGTGACCTTTGATGACGTCACATGACCTCACAGCTGCCCAACAGCAAAACAGACCTCAAGGTAGTGAAGGTTGATCGTATATGAAGTCATGTATGGTATATGGGGCCATTCCGACCCGTTTTAGTGGTAAAAACAGGGAGTTGATTTTTCCCCCATTGACTTATAATGGGGAGGTCGCGAAACTGACCTGACCTTAGGTCACCGATATCAAAATTCTGAGATATACAAATTGCACATACTGGTACCCTAACTAAAGCCTGAAGAGAAGAAATTGATCGGTCAAAAACTCTAGCTCTGGCGTGATTGCAAACTTTTCTGAGGTAGGGTCACCAAAACGCCTCTGGTGACCTGACCTGAGGTCAGATCAACTCAAAATTATCAGACATGTTGCGTAGAAGCCTTTTAGGAAAAGTCAGAAAATTTGAGCTTCCTAGCTCAACGCGTTTGGGAGAAATAACCAAAAAACCTCAGGGGGGGCTCCTGAGGCCCCCCCCCGCCAGGAATAGGGTTAAGCGTCACATGATAATATTTTCGTACAGACTTGAAGCGGAAATGACGAATGGAAGTTTATCTAAGACAAACAAACTATCTCCTTTCAAAGACCTTCCAGTTTTCATGTTCCCGTAGATAACGACCGATATTGGTATCTAGTAACCCTCGTCCTCGCTTCACTGGCCCTTGTTCCCTGACCCTTCCTGTTGTTCTCGCCCCCTCGCGCACCCTACACTGTCCTCTCCCCACCCCTCCACTTCCCTGCTGTACCCTTTGACCGGTTGCCTCGCTGACCTTTGCCCAGTGCCGACCCTCCTGTAATCTGACGCCGTTGACCACGTGCTGTGTCTCCTCCCGTCCTGTCTTTCTCCGCTTACTTGAACACCGCGGCATGGTTCGCTCTCATTTTCACGCTCTGGTGATAGACTGAACAGGCTGTGGCTCTGACTGTCGGGAGCGTTACGGTTTATACGCTGAGCTGGACTACTTGACGTTACTGGTCTTCTCGGCGTCATTTTTTTCTTTTCCATGTTTCTGCCACTAGGTGCACATTGCAGAAATGTTCTTCTTTGCAGATGACGCTGAATCTACGTGATCTATGCGTGCTTTCTTTATAGTGCGTCACTTCGTATGTTGCATCTCTCGTCACCATGACTAAACGGTGCGTTGGAGTGTGCCGTCTCTTCAGTAGTGTTCTGGGAATCGGTCGCGCGCCTATTAGAGCGCAACTTACCGTGGAAGGCGGGGCTCGAGTGACTCAGTCGGCTATATATAGGAGCATGATCGGAACTCCGTATTGTTCAACA